TTATGTCTAATGCTTAAGATGTGGTTAATGTATATGTATTTAAAATAAAAAACAAAACCTCGATCAGTTTGCTAAGGAAAATGTTAAATATTTCAGGTGGCAGATCACTGTTAACATGTGGAAGTTGTGCAGACTGCCAACTGGGCGGACAAGCTCAGTCTGTTCTCTGCTGCCCTCATGTGGCTAAAATTCAGGTTCACTACAACTTCTATATAAACACTCTAAAAGCTACATTGTTAATTCTCCATAAATTTGAATAAAAAAGGAATTTCCTAGAAACAATTTTAATCCTGTGATTACTGTATTTCCAATAAGATGAATGTCAGGATGATGAATATTGTGGTCACAATTTTTTTTTTAAAGCAGAAATTTGTGTATCTTTCAACATCAGGAGGAAAGATTACATGGAAGGCAGTGTGACAGGAATCTCTCCACTTGCTGAGCCAGGCTGAATCCCATCCATGTATCACAGGTAGGTGAGAGGGGTCCAAATATTTGGGCTGTATCTCTTGCTGCTTTCTCAGGTGCACTGGCAGGGTCAGAACTAGAACAGGAGGGATCCAAAGTGGCACTTGCATATAGGATGCCTGGACTGTAAGTGGTGGCTTAATCTGTTGTGTCACAATCTTTGCCTCAAATGGATACAAACTTTAAAGTGCCAGACACAAAGAGAATGCAACCAAAACCTCAGATATGCACACATTCATTCATAAAGGACATTTAATGCAGCAGGATATCTAAATGATGAGCACACATAAAAATACTCCCTTACAGTATCTTTGTAAAAGCAATCATATTAGATCTAAATGTCTTATTAAGAAAACAATGGTAGCAAAGAATATATCAGTTAGTAAATCTAATGAATGTGGGAGTTACTGTCATGGCCTACGCTGGGTCCCTGTCACCAGTCCGTGTAGTTTTAGGACCAGCACTCTGAAAGACTCAATGGCGGGGGGCAAAGGGCAGAGAAAGCAGCTCTTACAAAGAAGGCTGACAATGGGAAGGAGGACAAGTACTTCCCACTGAGGCCTCTCGGCTAGCTCTATCAAAAATGGAAGTGGCTTTACTAAAGTAACAGAGTGGATCAACAGATTCTGAATGGTAGAACCGGGAGAACTGGCAGGAGTGGGGAGAATTCTACCTGTGATGGATAATTTCCACCTTGTATAATTATAGAAAGACTGGTTTGGGAGGGAAGGCAAGTGAGACTTTTTGACTTTTGGACATTTCAAGTCACAACATCCGGGAAGCAGTAAGAGAACAGAAGGCAGGTAGGCATGAACACTTCCACCTAAGGGTCCCAGTGCTGGGTGGGCGCACTAAAGGCTAGCGTGTGGACACCCAGAGTGCCCTGAGGATCACTCAGAGGGGCAAGAGAACTACAAAGCAGTGTGACAGAAAGTCTAGGAACAGGAAGGTAGGATAGTACAGTTTCACCGGAGAGTATGCATTTAAAAAAAGAAAAAATAATAAAAAAATGATGCATGATATATCCAATAGAGTTTGACAAACACGATCTGCTTCTGTCCTGAAGGAGACAAATGCCACCCTGATGCTCACCTCTGGCATCCGGAACGCTGTCTCCTTTTGTGTGTAATCAATCATCCCATACATAAGTTAATCTAATTGATTTCCTAGCAATAATCTGAACAAAGCATGTTGCTGGACATTATGACTATGTGGATATTCACTTCTAATACAAGGCACTTTTGATATAGTTGGGAGTGAAAACACATTTATGCTAACATAATTAAGACTGTATTAATTACATAGGAGTAGAATGCTTAGTATAAAATGACCTTCATGGTATTACTTGCATAAAGAATCTATTCATTACTTCCAGTATAATGTAAAAGCACTTTTTTAGTACAAAGAATCATATTTAAAAGGTTCCTTCTATAAAATTTCTGGCTTTGGCGATTTTAACACTTCAATATTTGGCTAAGTAGTATATTCCATGACTTGTAAGATACAATTTTTAAAATATACATGGACAAACTAGAAATAGCTTTTTTCTCTAGCTTACAATGACTAACACTTCTTCACTGAAGAAAACAGGCTGGGAAAGGAGGCTCTTGCTTTCATTAGAAAGTCTTATAATGCCTGTTTAATTACCGTTTGGAGATAATAATCAATTTGTGAGTATCAAGCACAGAATGTTTTTTTAAACCATTAAAATTCAGGTTTAAAAAAAAATCAATGTACCTGATACATACACTGACATTAACTTTCAGCATAATTAAAATGTTGGGTATCTCCTCCCCATAATACTCCATTAAAACAATTGGGACCTGGCATAGAAAGTCGAGCCTCTGCTGCCTGCATCCCATATGGGTGCTGTTTGAGTCCCAGTTGTTCCACTTCTGATTTAGCTCCCTGTTAGTGGCCTGGGAAAGCAGCGCACCCACTTGGGAGACCTGGAAGAACTTAGCTGGACCAGTGCAAACCCAGACATCTGGGGAGTGAACCAGCACATGCCGATCCTCTTCCTTTAATTATGCCTTTCAAATAAAAAAATAATTTGTGGTTAACCTTATTTTCTATAATTATTGATGACCTATACAATAACTATATACTTCAATATGATCTAGTGTATTTTCTCATCTTTACCATATATATGTTCTGTGGTAGGGTCAGACTGAACTAGCAGGGCACAGGCTGATAGTCTAGTGGCTAAATCCTTGCTATGTTCTGGTGGGATCCCATATGAGTGCCAGTTTGTGACCCAGCTGCTCTGCTTTCCTTCCAGCTCCCTGCTTGTGGCCTGGGAAAACAGTTGAGGACCGCCCAAAGCCTTGGGACCCTGCACTCACGTGGGAGACCTGGAAGAAGCTCCTGGTTTTGGATCAGCTCAGCTCTGGCTGTTGCGGCCACTTGGGAAGTGAATGAATAGATGGAAGACATTTCTATACCTGCTTTTCCAATAAAAAATGAAAATGACTGGCAATGGAGAAAACAAAATTGTAGCCAGCAAGTTCCTGGCTCCTGGCTTTGGATCGGCACAGCACCAACCATTGCGTTCACTTGGGGAGTGAATCATCAGACAGAAGATCTTCCTCTATCTCTCCTCCTCTCTGTATATCTGACTTTGTAATAAAAATTAAAAAAAAAAAAAATCTTAAAAAAAAAAAATCAGTGCTTGTCTTGCTCATCCTTGTATTGCCAATATCTGAAAAGTGTGATACATAACAAGCACTCAAATGTTTAATAAATGGTAAGGATTTCTTTTATATTTGTTATCATCAATAAAACCGACAAATCTACAACACTGAGCTTCTTACATATGAACAGATAACCAATCTATCTCTCCACCGAGTTTCATATATATTTTAACCTTTGATTTTCTGTATTATGCTTATGCCTTATTATACAACGTAAGCATATATAATGAGAACAGGATAACTGAATATTATGTCTATGGACAAGACAATTATTTCCAGCCCACCATGATTCTCTCTCAAATTTCATGTTGATTTAGGGACCACTGAGAGAATTATGTTCAGCTCTGACTGGCTATTCCGAGTATCAATGACTAAAATGAGAACAAGCTGCAAAACAGACTACTACCTCCCACACTTCAGGTTACCATGCCGGTTATGCAGGCAGGAAGGTGACATCTCTGGACTTCCCTGAACAGGTTAAGGCAAGACTCCTAAAGACATCATTGAACCTTAGGGATTATTCTGTCACTCACCTCCCATCTTGCAGCTATTTTCGAGTTTGACATTTCCATAACTCTTCCGGAAAGGTAGGCAAACTTATAGGCTGATTTTTAAAATAGAATAAATCTAAAAACAACTCTCATTAGGTGAATAAGCATATTTAATGACTTAAAAATTATTTCAAATTAATTGTAGCCATCTCTTCTTCTATACTTAATAAATACACAAACAGGTAGACTTAAGAAAATATCCTTACCCTGAAATTGACTCTGTTCCTGACCCTCTGAGCCAATGCTGAGTTTATAGCCTTATCAAACTGAAGTAGAACTTGAAGGGCAAGTTGGGGGGTGATCTGTTGAGACTGAGAAAAAGTGAAACTCATTAAGTTCTTCTAGGAACAACACTGAAGACAAGCAGAACTATGCATTACCTCAAATTTAACTGGTTACCCAAAGCCTCTAACCCAGGATTCCTTGTTTCCCCTTTGCCATCCTGGACAACAAGCAAAAAGGCTCAAGCTGTCTTGACATAAACTTCACTTTGAAAATGAAAACATTCAGTTGAGGTTCTGAAGCTAAGCAAACCCATGTATCCTACCTTGCTTTCTTCATTCAAAACCCTGGAAAGATGTGCTGTTATTGTTTAACAGAAAAACTTACTATAATCATTTTGAAGCCCAGGAAACTATGTTTCTACTGGGGAGTCTGCATTTTAAAAAGGTTAATTCTCTGGAGCCTATAATGTGAAGCAGTGGGGCTGGCATCGCATAAAAGTGCCAGTTCAAGTCCTGGCTGCTCTACTTCTGATCCAACTTCCTGCTAACGTGCCTAGGAAACCAGTGGAAGATGGTTCACAGAACTGGATCCTAGCATCCGTGAGAGGGACACATCCGAAGTTTCTGACTCTTAGCTTTGGCATGGCCCATCCTGGCCATTTAGAGGAATGTGCTAGCAGATGGAACATCTGTGTCTCCTTCCTCTCCGTAACTCTGCCCTTCAAATAAATAACTCTTTAAAAAAGCTAACTCTTCTGAAGCCATACAGCATATGCTTTTCTTCCTAATATGTAAAGGGAAAACCAACAATCTGAATATTTACATTTAAGTCTTTTTAAAGTTTTAGATACATGATGAGTGAATGAATAGTGTTGAATGTATCTCAATGGTATAATAAACAGGATTTGAAGTTACTTGGCAGCAATACTGTCGGGGCCTAACACCCCTATTTCTCTCATCTCTGGGAAAAGGGATGTGACACAAATTATTACAGAGCCATCTGAACATGTGTCTGATTGTCAGTTTCCCACCTGTATGAGCTCATCTAGGCTCTCCTGAAGACTGTTTCCCAAAGTGGTATTTCTGTATAATTGATACGCCATGGCTCAGGAGGAGGAAACCGTTCTTCTTGTTCAGGCTTGCATTGATGTCCTAAAATTTTAACATAAATTTCAAAAATGTTATAACAAATTATACCTGTTACATAGTCAACTGTATATATTCTGAGAACCCTTTAGTAAGTACAATTACTGTATAATAATTTCAGGAACAGCTTTTTCTGATAGGCATATATACTCCTTTAATGTAGTAGAGCTGTTATAGTTCCTAAAATATGTAAGTCTTACTTCCTGATTTAGCCTAGAATTTTCCATGTACCATTCTTTCTACCTGCTGTGAAATCACAGATGCAGGTAATCTTTAGCCACATTCGCATACCTGCCAGCTCCTTTATTTTTCTTAAATGTCAGTATTTGTGAAGTATCTATCCAGAGGATGCTACTATAGTAGGTAGCAGGTGGAAGGAGATGAAGAAAGACACATTCCAACCCTAAAATGTCATGCCCTAGAGGGTAACAGATACACAAAATTCATTCTAAACCAACAACTGTGATAGGTGCACACAGAGCAGTGCTACAGAGCCTATCTCTATTCTGCCTGAGTGGGTTTAGCAAAGCTTCCTGATTCTTGAAGTCAGATTTCAGAAGCATCAAAAAGGAAAATCATTCTGGGATGACAGAACAAAACTGGAATGTGGGAGAATTATAAACTCTATATTACTAGTGTGTCAGTATGAGCAAGGCATGGCAGATGGATAGAGTAGAGGAACAGACCATGTGGTGCCCCTAAATCATAGAAAACTCAAATATTATAAACATCAGGAATGGAAGTCCTAGAAGGACAGCAGTGACACAGACTCAATGACTACTACCAGCCAGGAGGAGGTCTGTTCTTTTATAGAGTAATCCTCAGGTGAAAGCAAACACAACGGTCATACAGCATCTTCACACTTCTTTACTCTCAGTTCTCCATCCGCTTCACTGCTACTGCACTTCTCTGCTTCACTGTTATTACACTTCTCTTTACGTGGCACTCCCTCAGCTCCTGCCGGTTTCCTACCCAGCTGTGCTAAGGCTTCCTGGGTGTTCTCTTAACTATATGCTTGACTCCCACGGTTCCTCCATCCAGGTTCACGGCTTCAGTCCCATCTATCTCCCAGGGACATTCAAATTTGTAGCTCTAGTCCTGACTTCTCTTGTATCTATTTACAAAAGATTTCCAAAAAGTTTGTGGAAAATGCATTATGAAAAACTACATAGATTTCAATTTTTTTTTGTACTGAGAAAAAATAAACTTATCTTTTAATTTCATTTTCCCCATGAGCTTTTTGAAGTACCCTTGTATAAAACTTCTTGACAGTGGATAAACACATCAAATTGACTACTGAAATATGCAAAAAACCAAACTCCTGACACCGTTCCAATCCCCAAATCATTACCTCCCTTGTTTTTCTTGCCTGGCATCAAATCTATCACTTAGCACTTTCAGCTTTTTTCTAAATGTATACAAAATCTGACCACTTCTCTCATCTTCAATGTTAACCACACTTATGTTATTACCTCACCATCATTAATGCCAGCCTACTTCATGATTTTGTAACCATGTGCCATCCCGGGATCTCTTCCTTTTCCTTCGCTGCAAATCCTCTGTAAAGCTTACCTCATTAACTAAAGGTGATGTCACCACTGTCTCTCTAGCACACAGTTAACATCTCAATGCCAGCCGGGGCTGTGGGAGCTCAGGCAAGACATCACCCAAACTCCTAACTGCAGGCCTTGAAATTGATTTATCACCCATAGCTAACAACTTCCTGTCAAAGACTTACACATAAATATTTTTAGAAACTTCAAGTCCAGGTCAAATAGAGTAATAATCAATCTACCTGGAAACGGAGACTGGAAAGGAAACATACTGGGTTCTATCTTTGACCACTGAAAGCAACGCCAGTCACCCCTTAGATGGACCAACCACAAGCCCACACGTAAACTAGTCATACACCGTTCATCTTCAGTGCTGAAGTATAACACTCACTGCCCTGACTCCCTTGGGGAATTGAGGGCTAGCTGCCCCACCCCTGGCTCTATGCAGTGCAATGAATATCACCTACTTCTCATCAGTCTGATGCCAGAGCCTGGCTTACTGCCCCGAGACAAGCAGCTCTGCTGCTAGAGTCCTACAGAAACTCCTCCAAATTGCAGGGGTTGTCTTAGAGCAATTTCAGGGTTCTCCCTTGCCTCTCTCACCCTTCATGGCAATCATCCTGAAATTTTAAACCAAGTCTAATCATACAACTTAAAAACACCAAGAGCAATGTTTCATGTCAGTAAAAAATCCCGAGTCCTTCTGTAATCCGGGCCCTTTACCACACTCCTGCCCCTCTCCTGCACTCTGCTTGGTCACATGTGTCCCCTGCCGTGCCTCTACCTGGCAAGTATGTTCTTGTTTGAGGACCTCAGCATAAGCTGGCCTTCATGCTGTGAATATTCTGCCCAGACACCCACGTAATTCATGCCCTCATCTGATTCAGCACTGCTAAAAACATCACCCCACCAGAAAGGCTTTCTGCGATCAACAAGCAGAAAACAAGTTCCCCCTCCTCTCCAGACTGATTTTCACATCCATTAACTAAAGCCCATAATGAATGCTTTCTTGTCTCCATTTACTATAATTGATGATCCATGAAGGTGGGGGGGATTTTTATATAGCTATATATAAGCATTTACCCCCAAGAACAATGTATATAGTTTATATTTGGTAAACACTTGTTGAATTAACCACTTGATGGTACATTAAGGTGTTACATTAGAATTCCAAGTATGGGGCCCGGCGCCCTGGCCTAGTGGCTAAAGTCCTCGCCTTGAACACACCAGGATCCCATATGGGCACCGGTTCTAATCCCGGTGGCCCCACTTCCCATCCAGCTCCCTGCTTGTGGCCTGGGAAAGCAGTCGAGGACGGCCATGCACCTGCATCGGAGACCCAGAAGAGCTCCTGGCTCCGGGTTACAGGCTTCGGATTGGCGCAGCACCAGTCGTTGTGCTCACTTGGGGAGTGAATCATTGGGTGAAAGATCTTTCTCTCTGTCTCTCCTCCTCTCTGTACATCTGACTTTGCAATAAAAATAAAATAAAATCTTAAAGAAAAAAATTCCAAGTATGATTCAAAACTTTGTTTTATGTAACAAATGAAAGCAGCATTTGTGGACTGCCACAACCAAGTCTAAATACACACCAATCAATATCTGTGCCAGTAAGCCATGCCTCTGTTTGGTCACTACAGCTGAATCACAAATGTCTTTCTGTAAATCCGCTCTCTGCATCCATCAGGTCCTACTGAAGGCTGCTCCATCAATTTTCCTCGAGGCACCCCTTCAATCAGGTTTCCTGGGTCCTTTCGTTCTCTGTCCCCTGCTTCTAACAAGGCTCTGGCAATAAAGGCTTGGCCAGATTTTTTAAGCTATTTTTTTTTTTTTCTTATTGGAAAGGTAGATATACAGAAAGGAGAGATGGAGAGGAAGATCTTCCGTCCGATGATTCACTCCCCAAGTGAACGCAACGGCCAATGCTATGCCGATCTGAAGCCAGGAGCCTCTTCCGGGTCTCCCACGCAGGTGCAGGGTCCCAAAGCTTTGGGCTGTCCTCGACTGCTTTCCCAGGCCACAGGCAGGGAGCTGGATGGGAAGCGGGGCCACCAGGATTAGAACCGGCGCCCATATGGGGTGTGCAAGGCGAGGACCTTAACCACTGTGCCATTGCGCCGGGCCCAAGCTCCTATTTTCTTAAGAAAGCTGTTTAAGACTTAGCCATAGAGCTGCAGAGGAACTTGGATATGTTCAGAAGGTGGAAATAACCACAACCAGAGAGATCAGAGTACGACTGGAACTTAAAGACCCTGGAGACCTTTCAGAAGCAAGTACCCTGGGGAACAAGGCATTAGACGTTGGAACTCATCCTACTGAACTGTACCACAAGCTTGATTTCAAACGCCTCCAATCAACTAGCTTCACATTGTTTCCACTTAACAGCTTTCCCCACCAAATCCATAAAAAGCAGCGTTTAGGAAGACAAATTTAAATCTTACTGCTCATACCTCTGTGACTGCGGGGCATACTAACGAATCCTTCTCAAAAGACCCGTGCCACATACTGGTTTTGTACGCACAAGGCGTCATTCAGTCCACTCTAGTCCATGGAGGATAGCTTTTTTTTTTTTTTAAAGATTTATTTTTATTATTTTTTCATTGGAAAGGCGGATATACAGAGACGAGAGACAGAGAGGAAGATCTTCCGTCTGATGATTCACTCCCCAAGTGAGCACAACAGGTCGATACTATGCCGATCCGAAGCCAGGAGCCTCTTCCGGGTCTCCCACGCGGGTGCAGGTTCCCAAAGCTTTGGGCCGTCCTCAACTGCTTTCCCGGGCCACAGGCAGGGAGCTGGAAGGGAAGCGGGGCTGCCGGGATTAGAACCGGTGCCCATATGGGATCCCGGGCGTGCAAGGCGAGGACCTTTAACCACTTGCACCACCGCGCCGGGCCCCGAGGATAGCTTTTTTTTGGTAAAGATCTGTCTACTTATTTGAAAGGCAGAATTAGAGAGGTCTTCTATCTGCCAGTTCAGTCCTCAAATGGTTTCAACAGCCAGTGGTGGGCGGAGCCAACGCCAGGGGCTTCTTTCTAGTCTCCCACAGGAGAATCACTCGGGACCGTCCTCGCTACTCTCCCAGGTGCACCAAGCAGGTAGCTAGATTAGTGGAAGTGGAGTGGTCAGGACTCCAACCAGCAGCCCTATGCGATGCTGGCATTACAGGCAGTGGCTTTACACCCTACTCCACAATGCTGGCCCTGAGCACAGCATTTTAACAATTGTTCCTTCACTCTCTTACCATCCAATCATCCTCTCTACAGGTCATTTCTATCAGCAAACAAACGGCTACTTCTCCCATTTTAAATCTTTTTTTTGTCCTTTAAAAAGCCACAACCCACTTCTTCAGATAGTAACAGTACATTTCTGTACTGTCCGTTACTTTGCCCCATTCTCTCTTCCCACCCTTTTCTCTTAAAATGACTAAGGTTCTGCCTCCACCGCTCTAAAG